ATTTTATTTTTTTTTTTTTTCTTCTCAGAATTCTTTAATGAACAGTACATTTTGAAATAGAAATATTTTCTAGCAATGTAAAAGTCTTTACTGTAATTTTTACTCTTGAGAGTTTTATATTCTTAAAACAAGAGTATTTTACTTACCCCACTGGCAGATAATTTTACTTGTTTTAAGCAAAATGCGCTTAATTTAGTTTTTTTTCCCCCCCTGGAAAAAAGACTAAATATCTTAAGTCATTTGGCTTATCTAGTAAAAGTATCTTGATTTAATAATTTTTAGATATTTTGCCTACAAAAAAGACAAAAATACTAAGTAAGATAAGCCATTTTTTGCAGTGTTTTGTGTACCCTTACATCCCTAGCAGACAGTAAGGCAGCTAATGTAGTACTGGGACAGAGCCTATTTTACCTAACAAAATATATATTGTGTGTTGGAGTGTTCCAGACGCTACAACTAACCTAATTACAACTGAGTTATTATAAGTATGGACATTGGTCTGAGAGGTTTGACGTGTGTGTTTGTATGCTGCACTCTGGCATGGGTGGTCCGGGCTGTCTCTCCTCCATGTTTTTATGAGAAGACTGATGTGCCCTGCAGATGTTTCCACATATGCCACATTTAAACAGTCATTACAAAGTCATTCCTCATCTCTTTATGACAAGAGAATGCTGCTCTCCATGTTGAAAGCCTGCACAGTCTTGAAAAAAAATAATCAAAGAAAGTAAAATATAACCCCTTGCGGATTTCAGAATAAGTTTTACGATCTCTGCGAAATTCTTCAGTCTAATCGCACACTCATGCTCTCTCTTGATCTCTCCATTTTTCCAAAGGGCTCCATCCAAATCTGAACCACCTGATAACAACCCACCACCTCACTGCAGTCATTCAGGCCTCAGACCGTTATATTTAGTGTTTTCTTAAAAAGAGCAATCCGTACGACTCTGAGCATTCTGGTTCAGTTGGACGATAAATAAAGATGGCTTTGGGGTGCAGTTCATTGACTATGAAACAGACACATGGTTCGCATTTCCCCGCTCTATCGGCACGCAGGAGGACAGTAAATTCAGCAAGAGGAAAAACCACTAATTTACATTCTCACTTCCACCATGCCATTGACTCATATAAATTACCTCATAATGGCAGCGGCAATGCTGTGTTGCCGTCCTGAGTAGGTCCCAAATGAGACCGCCAGGCTCAGAAGATGATTTACTCCATACCATAATGGCTCTGGTGATTGAGCTGAAGTGGGGATGGAGGCTGATTCTACTCTATGGGTTTTATCAAGGCTCAAGACGGGCTGACAGTACCTTGATGTATGACCTCATGGAGAAGAGGTTGGCGAGCATGGTGGACAGGCCCTGTGCCAGGCAGCTCTGGGCTATGAAGCCTGCCTTCAGCTCGGCCAGGCAGATCGCATCATCACCCTCCTTCCAGTTCCAGCTGGGAATGTTTAACAGATGGGCCTGAGGACACACAGGACGAGACAAGGGGAAGTTAACAATGTCCCCTGCAGAGAAGTCTAACAAGTGTAGTAATGAAAAACACCAGTAAAAAAAATAAAATAAAATCAATACATTTCTTACAGTTTAGGGAGAAGTGGTTGATCTAAACTAATTTGTAGCAGAAAAACATGAACTTAATATATATTATATTAAGGTCTGAAACACAAAACAGTCACAACAAAGCATGTTACAACAGTCCACGGTCTCCCCTACCTTGTTAGATTATATAAATCTGTCAAACTGATAAAGCAAATCTCATAACAGTAGCATGTCACTATTTCATATCTCATTGCTAACACAGTGGGTTCGCTGACAGTCCTCTAAAACAGTTGTCTACAGTTGACATTCAACTGCTCTCGAGTGAACTGTCCCATGAACAAAAAACATCCATCAAGTCATTAACATCTATCTCCTGTTCCAGCACTCCCTGATGAATACAAAGCTACGTTCATGTTGCTGGAATAGGGGATAAACACTGAAGGGAAAAAATATGTAGACATACTGTATTTGATTCCTGTGAACTTATAAAATTCCTGTTGTCATGGACAGCAGAATCTGAAGGCCTGTTCTCATATGACACATGTTTATCTGCCACACGTCAGATTTTTAAATTTTTTAAATTAAAATTATAGCCTCTTTGTACATTATTTGTATTCTTTGTTTAGGTCTTTTTAATTTTCTTGTTGATTTGAATTGACAGAAACAGAAAAAAAATACACGTCCTACCTTGTTGTGGTACTGCAACATTTGAGTGATTATTCTGATCTTTGGATGGTAGTTCTTTATAGATATTACTCTGTAAAAATAAATAAATAAATAAATAAAAAAGGAGGAGAAACTCTATTAATTTACAGGTCAGTTAAAGCCAAGATAAAACAGCATTTGTGGGAAAAAGAAAAAAAATAGAATATATACATTTTAAACTTGGTTTGTTTCTTTAGAGGTATGAATTTAGCTTAAAGGTGCATTCAGTAATGTATTGCTTATTAAAAAAATCCGCAAAGATAGACTTCAAAAGTTTGGAGTCATTCTAATATGCTGATTAGGTGTTCAAGAAAAAAAATATCTTAATATTTTCAATGTTGAAAACAGTTATGCTACTTAATATTTTTTGTGGAAACTGTGCAAAAAAAATTTCATGATTCTTCGATGATTTCAAAGTTAAAATAAAATACATTTGAAATACATTTAGTGTAACAATTAAATTTTTATAAATGTAATGCATCCTTGCTAAACAAAAGTATTATTTATTTCTTACTGACCTCAAACTTTTGAATGGTATTATCCGAACAGCACATTTGAGAAATATTAAAATGATGTACACTCACATGAGATGAAGACTCTAGACATAGAAAAATCTGTTTTATTCTGCATGGAGCAGGTTGCTCCCACATATAAACAAAAACCTACTGAGTGCACCTTTAACCTCCAGGAGGACCGTCCCAGAATTCACCATCGTAAGTCACTTTGGATTAAAAACAAACATCTGCTGAATGAATAAAAAATGAATTAATCTTTCATTCCCATAGAGGAGCCTGTGATATGTGGCGGAACGGTATGATTTCCCTGTGAAATCCAGTCTGGATTTATCTCCAGTCTCGTAAGAGAGGTGCAGAATTTATTTCCATATTAAGCTGCTCTATAACACATTAGTTCAAAAGAGCACTCTGAGACCTGCCTCCAAACAGGCCAGACTGGGTGCAATTCTGTGCATTACTCATGGCTAAAGAACATCTCCAGCATGAAAGGTGGAAGGGATATATGCTTGCCCTCCCTTCACATACACTTTTTCAGAGCAATATTAGTTGACTCCATCCCAAAGGAAATTCCTTCTGGCTCTTTTCATCTGTGTCCAGGTATAACGTGTGAATCTGACCTGAGACGCCGAGTATCCCATTCACACCTTCCTTTAACAGCACAGAAGGGTGAAAGACATCAGCTTTCAATCCATCATTTTTACAGGAGGATGTCCCTAGTGAGTGTATGATGCTGCCCACAAACATCAAAATAAGATGTGCTCAAATGTGTTGATAGCAAACGTAACCCTTCACCGAACTGACCTCATGATATTAGAGGCATCTTCAGCATCGGGGTCTGCACAGTATTTGTTTGCAAGAATCAAGCAGGCATCCGCTGACTCGATCTGTACAAGATAGAAAAGAAAAGGTGACGCCTCAGTGATCAGAACAGCATTAAAACATCAAAATTATACTAACAATCTGCTGCATTATTATCTACAATGTCTCTACAATTCTGCATCTATAATAAACAAATTAATTTGTAAATGTATCAATGTTTGACCCCATTATTAAACTGTCAGATCAAACTGGGGAAAATTTTAAGTTTTTATGAGGTTACCTTCACTCTTGCTAGATCATGTGGGTTGAGGACCGATCCTTGATAGAATTCCACCTGAGTGAAGTGACGTTTGAACAAGGCTTCCAGCTCAAGATTAGGGGAAATACTAGAGTTTGGCAAACAGAGAAAGTGTGTTATAATGAAAAAGAATGCTTTTTTGAGAATGCTATAAGTTTATAAGAACAGTGTCATTTGTGCACCACTAGCGGCTAACAAAAGAATGTCAATACAGCTTATTGGTTGATCTCTTTGTTATATAAAAACAGGCAACTATATTTGATTTATTTGTTTTTCTTAGTAACATGCAGTCATTATATTCTTTACAGTGCGGAAAGGCTCCATCAAGTTTCTAAAATGTATTCCAAAGGGAATTGTACTTACTTATGAAGAAAAACAATTTCTACATTGACATCATCCCTGTCCTTGTGTAGGAAGTCTTTAAGGAAGTTGGAAACACTTTCGAGCGTGATATGACCACAGACCACAATGTGCCTGTAAGGGGGAAAATTCAACTGAAGAGTGCAACATAAAATAAAACTAAACTCTGGCATATCCTAAAAAGGAGCATAAAGTCATAATAACCAAAAGTGTCTTGAAAACATTAAATGTTGTGGCTTTCAAATATTCACTGTCCGTTATAGTCATAACAGCACATGTTGCTTTACCTCATATTTTTAAACATGGTTTAAAATATTAAATGAAGTGCTTTGAACTTTTCAGGACAAACAAAATTGAATCTTTCGCTTTAATGTTGGTTTGTCAAATATTCTTAATAAGCCATGTCTCTGTAGCCAAACCACCCCTGTGCTAGGATGCATGTTGACATGTACATCAATACTAACTGACAAGTATCGGAACCCCTGTCAAAAGTGGTTAAATTGTTTTTGGATCTGTGGCTGCCATGAACTCTAACCGTGACTTCTCCGGACAGGCACCGAATGAAAAACTTGCAATATATCAGATGGAACAAACAAACAGACTCAACTGGATTGTTCCAGAGGTCACGGTCTTCTGGGGCTCATTTATTCCATAGTAAGATCTAGTTTCATACTCTAGAGCTGCTCCAAAACCTAGTAGTGAGCTGCATTGACATCTACTAGATTCATTGACTCACTCATAAAATACACGTTTAGTTTCTAAATGAACCTGACTATGAATGCATCTGTTAGTCAGCGATTCAGTATGTTTTTGCTAAATAAATCAGTGTTTTTGAACAAATAAATGTAGTAATTATTCAATTCAACTCAAAGACTTGTCGCCAACTACTGGCAAAGCAATGTAACCTGCAAAAAGAGTCACTAAAAAATACCTCAATTGAAGGTTGAATTTTTAAGCCTTTAAACTATATACACCAAACTACACACAAATGCACTTTAAATTACACACCAAAGTTGTTCTTAAGGTTTTTTCATGTCTGCAATGATCTGACTCATATAAAAGATTACGGCCCATCAGCTTGATGGCCACTTCTATTACTGTTGCAGAACAATAACAATGCTTTATTTGTCAAGCAGGGCTTCTATGCAACAGGAGGTTAAAGAGTTGAGCTTTAGCCATGGGGTTTTGCAGATCACTTCACTTCCCATGCTGGATTACTCCAATACTGCTGTGGTCAAAGTCTCAAGAGCTTTAACCATGCACGGTCATCAATCTAAATCTGTCCAAACTAACTCTCTCATGTCTCAGCAGACATGATGTTCTCATGAGTTTACAAAGAACAGGGGCTGCTGACCTTAATTGTAACTGGGTGTATGTGCCTGTACACTCTCAGTTGCAGGAGAGGTGCTTATTTGTGCTCAGATCCTGGGCAAACATTAAGCGGATCTCTGTTTGCCAGAGGGACGCAATGAGGCTTTATGAGTGCAGTGTCTGGATGCTATCACACATAATGATCTTCGCAGATCTGGCCTCTTGTATTTAATGAGTGGTAGTAATTGCATGCATCCCTGCACACACACACACACACTCACACACACACACACACTCACACTTACACACACTCACACTAACCCACACACACACACACTCACACACATTAACACTCACTCACACAGACTAACTGTCACTTACACAGACTAACACTCACTCACACTAACAGTCACACACACTCACACACACTAACAATCACTCACAGTAACACTAACACTAACACTCTCACTCTCACTCTCACTCAGACTCACACTCACACTCACACTCACACTGACTGTCACTTTCACACACTAACACTCACTCACACTAACACTTAACACTCACACTCACACTCTCACTCTCACTCTCACTCATACTCACACTAACACTCACTCACAGTAACACTAACACTCACACTCTCACTCTCACTCTCACTCAGACTCACACTCACACTAACACTCACTCACACAGACTGTCACTTACACACACTAACACTCACTAACACTCACACTCACTCTCACTCACTCACACACACACACACACACTTGCTCACACTAATGCTCACTCACTCACACACACACACACACACACACACTCACTCACATTTACATTTACATTTAGTCATTTAGCAGACGCTTTTATCCAAAGCGACTTACAATTGGGGGATACATAAAGCGATTCTTCTTAAAGAGGCAAACAGACACAAGAAGTGGTTGTAATACCAAGTTCTTAGACATTGTTCAAATAAGTACAAGCTAGAAAGAGAAGGAATAAATAAAGAGAAACTTTTTTTTTATGAGCTATATACGCCGCACTCAAATAGTGCTTCTGTGATGTATTAAGATGCAATAATTGAACAAATCAATTATCACACAAACAAGGTGCTGTTGTTTATACAACAGTACAATAAACAATTTACTTAATATTGAGTAAATTACATTTTAGATACAATTTAGTCAGTTGTATATTTTTGTATTGCCAACGAAAATAAAATCTAAACAAGCAACATACAATAATGAGTAATGACATTCAATTCCTGAAGAAGTCGTCTTAAGTTGGTTGAGTAATTGATTCAATGACTCACTCTTAATGACATTCACTATTTTTTTATTCCTCAATGAATCAGTGTTTTTGAACAAATCAGTTTTATTGTTATTCGGTGACTTGCACGTGTTTAATTTTTGATTAAATTAGTATTTTTGAACCAATCAGTAGAATAAATATTTCAGTAGCTCACTCATGAAGAAACTCACTTGTTTAATTTCTACACTAATCAGTTTAGTCAATGATTCATTGACTCACTCATAAAATACACGTTTAGTTTCTAAATGAACCTGACTATGAATGCATCTGTTAGTCAGCGATTCAGTATGTTTTTGCTAAATAAATCAGTGTTTTTGAACAAATAAATGTAGTAATTATTCAATGACTCAAAGACTTGTCGCCAACTACTGGCAAAGCAATGTAACCTGCAAAAAGAGTCACTAAAAAATACCTCAATTGAAGGTTGAATTTTTAAGCCTTTAAACTATATACCAAACTACACACAAATGCACTTTAAATTACACACCAAAGTTGTTCTTAAGGTTTTTTCATGTCTGCAATGATCTGACTCATATAAAAGATTACGGCCCATCAGCTTGATGGCCACTTCTATTACTGTTGCAGAACAATAACAATGCTTTATTTGTCAAGCAGGGCTTCTATGCAACAGGAGGTTAAAGAGTTGAGCTTTAGCCATGGGGTTTTGCGGATCACTTTACTTCCCATGCTGGATTACTCCAATACTGCTGTGGTCAAAGTCTCAAGAGCTTTAACCATGCACGGTCATCAATCTAAATCTGTCCAAACTAACTCTCTCATGTCTCAGCAGACATGATGTTCTCATGAGTTTACAAAGAACAGGGGCTGCTGACCTTAATTGTAACTGGGTGTATGTGCCTGTACACTCTCAGTTGCAGGAGAGGTGCTTATTTGTGCTCAGATCCTGGGCAAACATTAAGCGGATCTCTGTTTGCCAGAGGGACGCAATGAGGCTTTATGAGTGCAGTGTCTGGATGCTATCACACATAATGATCTTCGCAGATCTGGCCTCTTGTATTTAATGAGTGGTAGTAATTGCATGCATCCCTGTCCTGGGATGAGAAGACTCTGTTGAGTTGATGGCTTGGTGTAAAGCCAGCAGCATCTGGCAAAGGGGTGGCTTGATGAGAAACACATTATTCATGTTTTCCTATTTCCAAAAATGCCTATTTGAGAGCTTTAGTTAAATCTGAGATTTTTATATGACAATGCTCTCACTCTTTTTACTCTAGAACAGAGTCTCTGGCATGAATACAAAACAGACTCTGTCTCGGCTTATGTCAGACATCTTGTCTCCATGTTTGGATGAGCTATCAGTGGTGCGTGACTGAGCTACTGATTGTGTTTCACCACTGCGGGGGGAGTTTTTTTTGTTTGTTTGTTTTTTTTCTTCAAGTTTATGGTACCGCCAATGAAAGCAATACAGGACGTAAAACAGAGTATTAGATAGATAAAAGATTTGATGAAAGAGTATTAGATAAGACTGATGTCATTATGTGATGCCTAAACCTTCATAACTATTTTTGTGCTTAAAGTGTTCTCAGTAATACATATAAGGTCAGTAAGACCCCTTTCAAAAATGTAATGAAGGATCGCTCTACATGATCTGTTTGTCTGTTGGCATTTCTTGCACTCTATTTCAAACTTCTTTATGACTGCATAATCACACCCTTGCTCAGAAATAGGGGAGAGAATTCACGTTTACATCACTGATTAAAAATAGTATGAATAATTACTATGAAAAAACTGAGTATTTTACCAAGAAAAAAAAACTAATTTTAAAATATAAAAATGTTTAAACAATTAATTTGTAAAAAAAAAAAAATGTAAATCTACACACTAACAACACTATACTGTGAACAACACGCAGTGAAGAGAACACTTGGACTACAACACAATGTTATGCACGATAAGGTGAAAAAAAAGTGCACAAACTTAGCAAGCAAATGCAGAAGGGCAGTTAACCAGCATGCACTGTGAATCATGCCAAATAAAAATAAAAAAAATAAAGCACCAAAAATATGGAAATCATAACCAAAATTGGAAAGAAATTAAAAACAAAAAAGCTCTAACATCAGCCTCAGCAGCGAAACCATTAATACTGCTCTAATCCTTAAACTGATCAATAATTTTAGAGTCGAACGAAAAGTCTCCGGTTCGTTTCCGCACTCATCACAGACTTTTATAATCAACAGTGTTTTAGGAAAAGCTGTGTCCAAATGATAGCTGTGAGGAGAACGTCATCCGATGAAAGGGGTGCATGTCTGCCCTTCTCTTTAGACCAAGAGAGAACAGAGCTTGAGATGGACCACATGTAGTCCACATGGGGCCAGGGCTCCATCATCATTACCATAAACAACTCGATGCAAAGCGACAATAATTAATTTAATTAGGTAACTCTGTAGTCAGTAACACCTCCTTAAACTACTGCAATTATTCAAAAACACTCCATTATGTCATATCTGACTGCAATTTCCCTACATATGCTGTAAGGCCGAGTA